CAACTGGGTTTGAGAGGAACAGGAAGGAGGAACGGATACACAATGGCAGGTCGAGAATCAGCAGCATTTTGGATCAACTGAAGACGTTTTAAAGAAATATTTGGACACCCAGATAACAAACCAGTGCAATAGTCCAGTCAAGATGTGACAAATGCATGAACTAGTTTTTCTGCATCATTTTTAGATAACATGTTTCTAATTTTAGTGATATCACGTAGGTGGAAGAAGGTGGTTCTAGTAATGTTTTTAATGTGGGGGATAAAAGATGTGCTGATCGAACATAACACCAAGATTTTTAACATTAGATCTGGAGGACAGATTAATGCCATCTAAGGAGGGAGAAAGACTGAAAAATGTATCACTAAGATGCACGGGTCCAAAAACTAAAACCTCAGTCTTGTCTGTGTTCAAAAGCAGAAAATTAAGGGTCATCCAGGTTTTTACGTCTTTAAGACATGCTTAGTCTAAGTAGCTGACTGGATTCATTGGGTTTCATGGACAAATATAACTGTGTATCATCAGCATAACAATGAAAATTTATCCCATGCGGTTTAATAACTTTACCTAAAGGAATCACCGGATAAAATGTTATGAAACTTTCAGAAAATATTCACTAGGAATATAGGTACAGCTGTATAACTTTACAGTTTAAAATGTCTGCCACAGCTAACTCACTTTTAAAAACAAATAATGGTTATAACTTCAACAGTTCAAGAGGCATTGAGCTAAAATGTGGTGTGGTGTTAGCTGAGGCTGATCCTCAAAACATATTCTGAGAATTAGTAACGTGCACAAGATCTTGGTTTAAATTTTGCTATTATTTAAAATCAAGTCTGTCTGTCTGTTAGCAAAATATTTTATGAACCAGTGAGCAGATTTTAATGAACGTTTCAAGAATTATTCACTAGATATATGTCTACAATTGATTAATGTTTGGAGCAAATTCAAAATTGATGTCACAGCAAACTTACCTTAGAAAGCACAACAATGGCTATAACTGAGTCAGTTTACCAGATATAGAGTTAAAATATGATGTAGTAGTAGCTGAGAGTCCTTTGCAACAAATTGGTTGAGCGTTGAACCATGACCGCTTCAGAAACTTTATGAAAGGTGGTGGACAATTCGAGATCCTGCACGGAATGCTGTACATTTAATTATTACTTTCCTTTTTTATCATACTAGCATTTTTCTTTTTTTTTTTTCAAAAACCCCATCATTATTAATAGAAAATATTTATGATGAATGTGTTCCTGCTAGGCAAGTATTTATGTAGTTTGTCTGCAGGTACGTTTTGTAACGTGTGCGTCTGCTTTGTGTTACATGTTGACCAACGACCAAAGTTCATCTTGAAGCCAGTGTTTGTTGCTCTAAATTTAAATCTGCGTGTACTTTTCTGTGCCACACACGTGTACATGACCTTTGCCAGGATCACTGTTATAATCTTTTACTGTCAACGACCGTGACTTTTAGACTCGTTGATAGTCCGAATGGTCTCTTTTCAGTCCAGAGCCTACAATTATTGTTTCATCCACAAAACATCTGCAATACCACATGGAAACAACAAAAGTGTGCTTCTATTGTATGATGGTTTATTTTAAAGCTTCCATGTTGAGAGAAAAAAAGTTGCCTCTGAACAAATTTAGCGTACAGTCTGGTTTTGTTCAGTCAAAAAACAAAAGACCTTTGTGCAAGAAACTCTGCACTGCAGGACAAAACTAACTCCTTCTGATGTAGACTTATCATACAGGGTCAAAGGTCACAGATGTCCAACACATGCTCACCTTTGTTTTTTATACTTTAATTCTCTACATTTTTTTTGATGATATACGTGACAGAGGAGTGGAAACACAAATGCATTTCTTTAAAGAGTTTTTTATGAAACATTGCAACACCTGCAATGGGTGCACAAGGGTGTTGTGACTTTTCGTACTGATGCAACTTTAGCTTTTGGAAATATTTAGAGTTTTCTGCCTCTATATTCTCATAGAAAATTAATTGATCTCATTTTACATCTTTCAGATCTTTAGATCTGTTTACAACCTTTTCTTTTCACATTTTGTTCTGTTTCAGTTTCTTTCAGCTGCATTGTGCAAATTTAAAGTTTTTTTTTATTTATTTTCAGCTACTTTCAGCTGTTCTTTCAGCTGCTTTTTTCTTCTTTCATGTTCTTTCTGCTAACTACAACCTTTTTCTGCTTCTAACTTATTTCTGCCAATTTCAGCTTATCATGCTCCTTTCAGCTTATTTCTGCAAGTTTATGTTTTCCCTGCTATTTCAGCTACTGTTTAGCTGTTTTATGCTAATTTTAGCTTTTCAGCTAATTCCACATTTTTGTACTCCTTTCAAATTTTTACAGCCCAGTTCAACAAACATGTGCTCTCAATTATTGCTACTTTTTTTAAACTACTTTTCAGATGTTTTTTTTTTTTCTAATTTCACCATTTTCAGATAATTTCAATGTTTTGTGCTCATTTCTGCTTCTGCCTAATTCTGAAAATATGTTTTTTCTGTTTTCTTTTGCCAGTTTGAGTTTTCTCAAGCTTTTCAACTAACCTTTTAGCATTTTTAGCTAATTTCATCCATTTTCAGATTAATTTGGTTTTTGTTTTGTTTTTTCTGGAAATTTCTGCTACTTTCAGCCAAATTAACTTATTTCTGATAATTTCAGCTCGTTATGCTTCTTTCAGCTTCTTTCTGCTAGTTTCAGCTTTGTCTGCTATTTCAGCTACCATTTAGCTGTTTTATGCTAAATGCAGCTTTTCCAGCTAATTCCACATTTCTTTTTAGCTCATTACAGCTCTTTCCATTTCCTCTGGTAATTTGTCTTTCTGCCTTTTTATCTACTTTTCAGCTATATTTGGCTAATTTCAGCTTTTTTATTAGTTAAATTCATAATTTTTGTGCTAATTTCTGCTCATTTAAATCTAATTCAGCAAATATGTTTTCTTTCTGACTTCTCCTGCTAAATTAGGCTTGTTCTTCAATTTCAGCTATATTTCAGAATTTATTTATTTAGTTTTATTGGTGTAGCTAATTTCAGCTGTTTGTCAGCAAGTTTATTTTTTATTATTTACAAAGCTCATTCACACTGCATTTTCACAGGAAATGCAGTTTCTCTAGTATAATTTAAGTTTCACTGCCTGCTCCTTTTTCATCTGGGGTTTGGTTGAAATAAAATGTATTTCATGCGTGGTACTCGTTTCTTGATAAATGATGACACGTGTGGTGAGGAAAGAGTGTTTGCATTTAACTCTGTTTTCAAAGAGTAGCCCAACATTAAAGCAACACTTGAAAAAGAAACAAGACAAAACTGAATTTAAAAGCTTATCATTCCTTGAATGAATTCACATTTCCTGCTATTCTTAAGATGTAAACTAAAATCACCTTTTGATGAGAAGAGGCAGCACCACAGCAATTTTGGTCAAATCCTGTAAAATATGAATTATGTAAATCTCACAATATGTGACAGAGCTCAGAGAATGAACTGGGGATGACTATGACCCACTATCACTAAACTGAACTCCACATTTGTAAAACTGATGGAGGTTTAACCATTTGCTTGTTTGTTTCCTCAGGTCCACATGCTATGGAGGTTATCTTCAATTGGGTTGGCTTCAAAAGTTAAGTTTTTGAAGCAATGATTACTTTTTTTTAGAGTTTCTCTAAAATCCAGTCCAGTGGTTCATGAGAAACAACAAACCATCACACACTCACTCACTCACTGGCAAAAACATAATCACCTCTTGCGTTCAAATGCTAATCTCATAACTCTGTCATTATATGAAGAAGAAATAGACTAAAATAATCAAAATAATAAACATTAGTGAGCTTTTCTTGAGCTGGAGACCTTAAGGTAGATGATAAACAAGCATCACAACCAAGACGTTCATTCAAAAGATGTTTACTTTCATTCTAACTTGTTGTACTCCTTCTCTCCACTAGATGGCAGACGACATCCACGTTCATCTGCAGCTCCTGCTCATCACACAACAAAACTGTAGCAGCTTTGCAGCCCGAGGCCATCATTACACACTCAATAGAGCAATATTCAGTCATCTTCTCTGCTAAATTGATCCCTCTGCTGCTAAACAACATGAGGTGTGATGATTTTTATTATTTTTTATTTTTTGCAGCTGAAACAGCTGCATGCTTTGTAGCAAGATATTTATGTTGACCTTTTTGTTGTTACACGATCAGCTGTCTGTCGATTGTCGGTCTGCAGCTTGAGGTCAGCAGGGCCGTCCTCTCAGAGCATCATTGTGGTTGCGTTGACACTGTCCTGGTTTGTACCGGAGCTTGTGAAACTCTCGTCCAGAGGACACAAACGCACAAGCTTGCCCAATTCCGACCTGTTTCAGAACATGCATGTAAATTTTACAAAACGCTGTTATCAAACACGGCAAGGCCTGATAAGATTACTGTTGTTTACCATGCAGGTTGGGAACACGGAGTCTCTTTCTTGCACCCACACCCACACATGCATAATGATAAATGCATACTTTTGCATTGCTCTTATATATACTACCTTAAATTAAAAGAGCATAAAGTCAATTTCTGGTCAAAATAAACCACCATTTGCACTAAATATACACATGCATGCTGCATCTTTATATAGCTGGTCATTACCAGAGGGATAGACATATACAGAACATGCTGTTCAGTTTATTATAACAAATCAACACATCTTATCACAGCTTTGTATATCCCTGCAGCCCCCTCCTCCCACACCCCTCTTCCTTTCAGCCACTCCTCGGTCTGTCAGCAGCAGGGTGGAGCTCACAGAGCTGCACATGTTTCAAGCATGCTGCAGCTCACTGACTGTTTTCTTCCACTTCCCACAGTGCACCCATGGCTAAGCCAAACGAGGCCCGAGGAGGGACCGGTGGCTGCTTTGCACCAATCACAAGTGTCTCCACACCCCACTCTGTTTTTCTCTCCTCCCAGTTCACTCCCCTCCCTGACTTGCAGTTGGCAGTGGGCACGCCAACTAGAGAGAGAGAGAGAGAAAAGTTCAGGGAAGACAAAGTGATAAGCATCAAGCAGCTTCTGGGTTTTGCTTTCAAGTGGACTCCTGCTGAACTGAAGCAAGTGTGTGTGTGTGTTAGTGTGTGTGTGGTACTGGTTTCCTCCTGTCATTGGAGGAACACAGAGCGTCAGCCGTGAACTAAAGGTTATAAAACAGAAGAGCCACCGGAGGAAGATGCACAGCAAGACTTCAGTTCTCAGGAGGAACTCAGCCTGACGTTTAGACCTTCTCACTCTGGACTGGAGACAGGACGACACTGGTCCAAACTCCCCTATCTCCAGTTCACACCCATCACTCTCTGACAGCTCCTGCTGGAGCACCTGCTCCTGACTGTCTGACTCCAAGATGTCAGACGATGACTGCCGCTCGCCCATCGGCCTGGACGTGTGCACCTGCTGCCTGGACCTGGCCAGTGGAAGTGACGACTCCCTGTCCAGCAGCCCCTCTCAGGGCCACGGCACCACGGGAGGCCTGCCAGCAAGCCCCACCAGCCCCAGCGTGAATCACTTCAGACAGCTCCGCAACCAGCTCATGTACCAGAACCTGAACACGGACAAGCTGAACAACATCATGAGGCAGGACTCCCTGGAGTCGGTGGTGAGGGACCCCTGCTTCCTGCTCAACGAGGGCATCTGCAACAGCAACATCGACCAGACCATGCTGTCCATACTGCTCTTCTTTCACAGGTATGTCTGTTTACTCGTTCCTGACGGGCCAAACGTGTCCCAAAGCGTGAAACTTCAACCAATAATTGCATCATTCATTAGACACCTGAAGTACAAATCCATCTTTTCATCTGAGCATTGCTGCATCTCTAAAAACATCATGTTGTTAATGCATTTCCTACATTCACTCATCAGCATTTTTATGGATCACATTACATTTGTGCTTTTATTTTGTGTTGTTATTCCATTTAGAGGCAACTAGTGCTAGGTGTGACACTCCAACAGGTTGCTTGTCCTCAAATTTTCATTCCAAAATGACCTTTATTTACAAACAGATAAACTTCATGCAGAAAATACCCCACCCGGACATCTCGAGACGCTATGATCTTGTCTGGATACGAGTCAAATAAGCTTTTATTGCCTGACGTCAATAAAACTGGCTCCACTCCTTCATTGTTTTTGCCTAATTGTTTCTGGCAGCTCGCCCTGCAGTGATTGCGAGAATGACAGTGTCTCTCTGCAAAGTTTCCATCCGTTTGGAAGCTTGTTTGGCATCCAAAGTATTTGTTGTTTACTCAGCCGCAGGTATCGTTGATTGTACTGAACTTGAATGAAACATAGGTACTTATATTACAACTAAACAACCAAGTGTCAAAGCGTGCACAAACAGCAGAACCTACTCTTGGCATTAGAGTGACTTTTAAATATTTCTGACGTGGAAGTTGCTGTAATTTTTCTTTATCAATATGTTTTAAAAGATCATAACATGTGAAGTAAATCATCTGTGAAGAAAATGCAACAGTTTCACAGTGATTGGACAATAATATATATGTTTTTCCCCTGAAAGATTTTAAACAAACAAGTAACCACCCAGTTAAAAACAAACAAACACTGATTAAATATATATAGGGAATATCTAAATTCATTCATTTTCATATTGATTCATACCCATCTGCTCACCACAGACTCATGTTCAGGCTGCTGTTATTATGCTGTATTGTTTTACATTAGCAGTGTTTAGCATCTTACATCTTTTAGTTTGCCATTTGGTGTTCATTTACCGTATATATTAGCATATATATTAGATCCTTATACACGGTTTCTTTTTACCTTTTATATTTTTTTATATTTTGGTGAAGAACTGGGAACCTGAGTACATAATTTCATTCCACCTCGTGCACCGCATGTGATGAGAATGACAATAAACTTGGACTTGAAATGTTCAACATCACATTAAATGTGCAAGTATCAAACAAGTGACTGATATTTGATTTATTTGTTTAATATATGGCGATCAAGTCAAAGTGGCACGATAGTGCGGTGGTAAGAGCTGTTGCCGCTCAGCGAGAAGGTCACGGGATCGCTTTCGGTTGACATGCGGTTTGCATGTTCTCTCCGTGCATGCGTGTTTTTTCTCCGGGTGCTCCGGTTTCCTCCCACAGAGCAAAAACATGCACGTTAGGCTCTAAATTGTCCGTAGGTGAGTGGCTACGTGTCCTTGTGATGGACTGGAGACGTATCTAGTTTGTCCCCCGCCTCTCACACGACTGATGGACATGTGCACCATGGACCCATGGAGAAAATGGAAAAGGAGACAAGGCGAGTAAAGCTAATGGATGGATGGACAATCAAACCAATAAAACAAATTCATAACTTAATCGGACATAAAACAAACACAAACTGTGCATAAAAAGGATTTCTTTCACCTCGAGTGCCTTTTTTCAATAACCAACATTTTTCCTTTAATCTATCAGAACAAATATCCGCAATAATGTTTGTCCAGATAAAGTTTCCTTGGAGTAACCACGGAAACGCTGGTTATCATTGAGCAGAGTTGTGTTATCGTAATGTTCTGGCCACGGCACATTATCAGTGTTTTATCACGTATCATCAGGAGCTGCCTCTCATTATTCAGACCAGTTAATGTTTAAGCTGTCTTTACTTTTCTGTGTGCTGTAAACCTCCTCTCGTCGCGCGTCGTGATCTATATTGTGCTCGGACAGTATAAGCGAAGAAAATAGAGGTACGAGTGTCGGATCAAATCAAAATGAGAATGGAATGACACAATTATGAGAGGGAATTTTAAAAACAGACACACAAAATATATCATTTGTCCCAGGTTGTTAATGACTGATGTGTTCTTTTTAGACGTCACCGACGGGATCATAAACAGCCTTAAAGAGAGGTTTGCTCCTCAGACAGCCATTATAACAATTAAACTCTGTGACAATAGAGCGAATAGTGAATACTACTACAGAATGTAGAATGTCTTGTTTCACAATGAGAGCTTCACGTACGTGCGAGAATGTGAATTGTTCCAAATGAAATAAACCAGCAAGGTGCTTTGTCATGTGTGTGGAAACGAAATGCTGCATGACTTTAAGATCCATTGAATAAAAATGGGAAGATTTTCCACGTTGGTTGGAAACGACTGTACTAATTGAGCGTCAGTGTCGTAGAAAATGGTTTTGTTTAAACTGTAGCAAAAAAAAAAAAAAAAGAAAAGCAACAAATGGTTAATGACACTGTGGTGCTTTGACTGCGATACAATTACCAATAAACCATTCAAGCAACCACTACATTCAAAATGAACTCTACCGTTTAATCAGCTGGTGCGGTTTTAATAACTTACTTTATGCCAACTTTCCCTCAGGAGATCAGTAACGTGTCTTTATATTGTATTCCTTCACAAAGTTTCGTTATGAAACACCATCAGTTTCGCAGAATCCAAATGGTCGTAAATTCCTTCTTAATCCTGGGTGTTCCCTGGCAGAGAGAGGTTGGGTTAATTTGTGTACAGGTTACACCTGAAAAGGTTTCTCTTATCAGTGACACCAGACCTGAGCATAAGACAGCTGGACAGCTCGGCCTGCTCAGACACACACCTACACACACACAGGGCTCATTGTGCGCTCTCTTTTCACCCTGACGTTACACTGGTTTACTATATTCTAAATTATGTCCAGACTGCTCACTTTAATTCAGTTTTATCAAGTGTGTGTAGTATATTTATGACAAAAGCTTGAAATTTCAACCAAAATCCTTAGGATTCTTAGTACTACAGAATTACATTTAAGCATTATAACATATCAGGCAAAACATTATTTGTGCATTACATATGGACTCTCATAAATATTCATTTAGACTTTACAAACAAACAACTTGTGACATTGTAATTAAATACTATCTTCTCATTGTCCGCACAGTACATTGTTTGGCTGAACGCAACATAAAATTAAAGAAATTGCATTTCCTGAGAAAATGCATTGTGAATGCTTATTGCTGAATAATTTGCTTAAAAGCAGCTGAAATTAGATAAAAATATGTTGAAATGTCACTGAAATGGATGAACAAGCGTAAGTTAGCAGAAGCAAGCAGAAAGAACCATATTTGCGGAATTAGGTTTAAATAAGCTGAAATGAGCACAAAACAGGAAATTAGCTTTAAAAAAGCTGAAATTTGCAAAAAAAACTAAAACAAAAGATAGCTGAAAATAGCTGAAAAGGCATAAAGAAGCCTAAAGTACCAGAAAGAAGTGGAAAGATCTAATATGAGCTCAAAAAAATGTGGAATTAGCTGAAAAAAAAACGCAAATTAGCACAAAACAGCTAAAAATTAGCAGAAATAGCAGAAAAAGCTGAAACTAAGAGAAAAAACCTGAAAGGAGCATAATGATCTGAAAATTGCATAAATAAGTTAATTAGGCTGAAAGTAGCAGAAATTACCATGAAAAACTTGGATTTATCTGAAAACAGCTGAATTTAGCTAAAAATGCTAACAAGGTAGCTGAAAAGGTGGAACAAGCTTAAATTAGCTGAAGAAAGGAAAAATAACATGATTGCCCAATTAGGCCAAAAGAAGCAGAAATGAGCACAAAAAAGTGGAAATCATCTGAAAATAGCTGAAAATAGCAATAAACAGCTAGTAGCTGAAATAGTAGCAAAAGCTAAAATGCAGAAATAAGCTGAAAGGAGCATAATAATCTGAAATTAGCAGAAAAGAGTTAGAAGAACTGTAAAATGTTGTAGTTAGCAGAAAGAACCTTAAAGGAGCACAAAACAGCTGAAATTAACTGAAAATAACTGGAAAACAGTTTAAGTTTGCACAAGGAAGCTGAAAGAAGCTAAAGCAGAAAAAATGTGAAAGGAGCTAAAAGGTTGTAAACAGATCTAAATATCTGAAGGATGTAAAATGAGCTGAACTAATTTCCTATGAGAAAATATGGTAGAAAAGGCTAAATATTTCAAAAAGCTAAAGTTGCACCAATAGCAAACGTCACAGCAGGATTGTCCAGATTGAGCTGAACATTTTGATACATGATTCGTTGAAGTAGCTTGAAAAATGTGGGACGAGAATGGCGCCGAAAAATGTACAGAAGAGAAATGGATCATAATCGAGTGAATGCTTCATAAGTGTCCACACAATAACTTCAGGCTAATACTGGTAAATAAAAAAAAAACAAGTTTCAAGAATGAAACGTATGCTCATTATAAACTCAACATCATTACAAGCTGTTACAAAAAAAATATTGCACCATCACTGAAATCCAACATTTAAAACCTTCTATTGCTACAAAGGTTCTTGCATCAGAGGAGTGGAATCTTAAGTCGTGCAACTATTTAATGTAATACAGTGTGAGGGAGGGGGGGGGGGGGGGCTGCTGCTCTTAGAACTGTTATTAACTAGAACCACATCCCCCACATTAAAGGCTTATATGTGCAAAACATTGTCCCTATGATCATAAAACTTAACCAGTGATATTTTTGGATCAATACTGTTTTGAAATGAGGCAAACCACAAAGAAAATGAACGACAATAAAACAGAATGTGTGTTTCCATTGTTAGCTTGTATCATCGCGAGCCGTGGGTGGTTGGGAGGATGAATGTAAACAACAAATCTGAAATTATTGCTCACTGATCAATCATAACTGAAGGGCTGTATCTAATATAGAGCATGTTTCTGATAATTGATTATCATCGCCTTTCTTCCCGGAGTTTGAAACCAAGTTGTTGCTGGTTTG